CAAACATCCAATCAGATGTACGGATTTGCATACTGACACTTAACTCTTCATATAACTATATACTTTGTTTCACTATGTTCCGGTATCATAATTTCTAAATCTAATTCAACTTAAAATTGAATCGATTATTTAACACTATATTGAAAAGAACGATAATTACAGGTTTTATCATTCGTCATAGGTTTGTCATTCGTCATAGTCGTCATAGGTTTCGTCATTCGTCAATTCGTCAATTAGAAATTGCTTGACGAATGGTTTCGTCAGACATCAATGACGAATGATTCGTCATTCGTCAGGTATCATTACTTTGGATACCGTAATATAGTTCTGTATACTCTCATGATGTTATGTACCCGTGCTTGACCATAAATCCCGTGCACCAGTTTTTATAGGGACCGTTATATAAAAAGACCATCGGACTATGCATGAAATTGTTGGATACTATAAATTCCGAGACGCTTGAAAAATTACTTAAATGATAAGTTTTTTTGATATCAATAAATTATTGATTCTGTGCGACTGGAAAATATGAAAGCAGCTGAAACACCGCCTATATGGAGTCTTTGCTAACGGAAATCAACTTAAGTTTTTGCAAAATTTGGATAAATTTCGGCACGGGATATATTGTTCGTGAAAAATTTACCCGTTACCGCACTAATGTTACACGAATATGCAATGTCCGAATTTTGTGAAACAATCTAATTTTTTTAATACTGTCGGACGGAATCTAATTTTTTAATAATATAGATTATATGCACATTGATTAAGGGTCATCGACCTTGTATAAAATAAAAAATGTGCGAACTTATAAGCCCTGAGTCGGGTTTTCCCTTATAATCATCCTTATATTTTGCGCATAATTCGAAATATATCTATTCGCTAAACTTGACAAGTCAATAAGCATGTTTTTTTGGACCTCCCTAGTGATTGTTGTTATCTTGCTCATAGCATATAATAAAATTAACTTGAAGACACCAGATGCCCTTAAAAATATTCACACAATTACATTCTTTAGTCAATTGTTAGGAATTATTACTAAACAAATAGGACATGACAAGTTATATTCAAATTATAAAAAATATTTTGAAGAGGATGGAGTTGTAAAGGTAAATTTATCAAAAATAAATAAACCTATAAACTTAATTCTATTAGCTAAATAATGTCATTTATATAGCGCAGTTTTAGAGGAAGGTGGATTTGTCTCATAACGGATCCAGTGATTGCAAAGGAACTTTTATTGCGACCGGGTACATTTTTAATAATAATTGGCCTGCTACCACGTAATACAGTATTTACATAAAATTAATCCGAAGCTCCTTTACAGATGTTTACCCTAAAATAGACGTCGATGAGATTTTTCCAAATACTGCGTTTGCAGAACATTTAGGGGTCAATGTTGCTTTTTCAACTGGTGATGTAAGTACTGAATAAGCCTTTTTTTCTCTCTAATAAATCTAATTGTATCAATTTTTTAGGTTTGGAAGAGACACAGGTATTCTTACATTTCTTTTGTTGCTACTAAAGCTGAGAATTGATCAGAGCTGTTATTTGGCCTGAATTAGATCATTTTTTCAATACTATAATACAGTAAAGGATGTTATTCATATAACTTTAAAATTAATAATATGTCGGGATTGTATTGTAAATCCTCATTAAAATCAATTATTTATGATAGAATTATTTTTATGGAATATGTAATAGATCTCGAATCTGGATCAAAATCCCGAAAAGGTTATAATCCCGACAAGTTGGCCTGCATTAAAGTAGTTCTGGTCAATTTTTGTCAGGATTTAACCCAGAATCACAAATGAATCTTGGCTATAGTCAATTGTCAAATTCAACTTTAAAGATATCAAATTGTGATTTATTTTAATAGTGTTTATTTTACTTAGACGTGTGTGCAATCCCGCATTCAAAACTTTACCATTGCATCTTTTTGCAGAAACGGCATTAAAGTTGATGGATATTTTAGAACAAATTGATAAAAAGCCTATTGAAATTAAAAATATTATGCAAAGGTAAGAAATTATTCTTGAGTCTTTATTATTTCTTTCTTTAAAACACTATTGTAAAATCAAATGTTTCTTTTAGGTTTACATTAGATGTTCTTGGAAAAGTAGCCTTTGGTTTTGACTTTAATGTAAGTATAAATAATATTATTAATTATAGATAATTAGTCTATTCTTTATTCTAATAAATATTTGAATTAGAATCTTGGTGATCCGAATAATGTCTACGTAACAGCATATAATGACGTTCAAACACTTATTATGAATCCATTGACTCTTATTGTTCCAATTGAACGTATTCCAGGAGTAAAGCAACAAAACCGTAAAAAAATTGATAAATTAGCTAGTTTGTTTAAAGAAATTATTAAAGAGAAACATAAAGCTATAGCTGCTGAAAAGACTCGAGGAGATCTTTTGGAACTTATGTTAAATGCTAACGAAGATCAAGATAATCAAATGTTATCAGATACTGAACTAAGGGTAAATGAAAATTCTTTTTTATTTTATTATTGTAAATCAAATTTTAATTAAACTGTTTTGTTTAATAGCATAATCTAGCAGTTTTTATGCTTGCTGGCCATGAAACAAGTAAATACTAATGTTTATATTAAAGATATACTGTGTATAGTTTTTACAATATTATAATATCTTACAAATTTATAAATTAGCCGCAAATGCATTATCAACCATTTTATATCTATTATCGATTCATAAAGTAAGATCCATATTTATTATTATTATAATTGATATTATTATATTTATTGAATAGCTATATATCTTTATGTAGGATGTCCAAGAAAAAGCTCGAGAAGAAGTATTTAGAATACTTGGAGACAATTTAATTCCATCAGCAGAACAACATAAATCTTTAAAATATTTAAATATGATTATTTATGAAAACCTTAGATTATATCCACCGGTTAATATAAGTTTACACTTAATATAAGTTTACACTATAGTTGTATTTTAAAATAATTAATAACTATCATTATTATTAATAAATAGGCACCATCTGTGATACCTCGTGAATTAACTAAAGATTTAAAAATCAAGGATTTTGTAATTCCAGCTGGCACAGCTGTTGATATACTCATATATGGAATTCATCATTCATCAAAACTTTGGGATAACCCAGAAGAATTTTTGCCTGAGAGGTTTGAAAAAGAATACATGCACATTGAAAATTATTCTTGGTTGCCTTTTGGTGGTGGATCCAGAATGTTAGTTTGTTTTCTTATAATTTATTTTTGTATTATTTACAAATTTGTATAATAATATTTAATCTTTTTTTAAAAAATAGGTGTTTAGGAAATAACTTTTCTCTTATTGAACAAAGAATTGTTCTATGTTTATTATGTAAGCATTCAATCTTAAAATATTTATTTTTATAAGTGTTCATAGGTATATATTAACATTTTTTTTACAGTGCGCAAATATGAAATTTCATTAACCTCGAATAGCAGACATAAAGATGGATTAAAAATTCAGTTTCAAACAACCGCATATCCAATTGATCTTATACTTAAAAGAAGAGATTAATAACAAATATTTATTATTTATAATCATATATTTGGTCATTTTACTAATATTGTTGCTATATTTAATGAAACTAGATTAAAATTTTGTAATTTTTTTTGCTAAATAATAGGTTCTTTTAAAACAATTTCTTTATATTACTTAGATATCACAAATGAAAGCAAATAAATATTTTTAAAATTCTTTTTAGTTTTATTTGACAATAAGTTTTGGTACAATTAAAAGTAAAATTAAAAAAATAATAATATTTATATAATTTTTTTAAAAAAATATAAGCAGCAAATTTTTGTTATTAAAAATAAAAAATTCATAAAAAGTATTATTATTTAGAATCCTAATCTATTACTTGTTTATCCACATAATTATCAGGCATTTATTATCTGTTATCTGTTCTGAATTTATCTGAATATTTATTTACTATTGATATCTGAATAATTATCTGAATTTCTTTTAGATTATCTTATATTTGGTTGGTTGTTACAAAAATAACATATCAAAATTTGCATTATTATTTTTTTAAAAGTGAGGCCTGGTATTAGTCTTTATTAAATAATTTATACTTTATATTTGTAGAATAAATAACATGATTAATACAGAAATCTACAGCTAAAACTACTTTATTCTCAGCCTAAAACTCTACTAAAGTATTCATCTAGATTTATAGTAGTATTATAGAATGTGGATATATTAGTAATGAAGAAGTAGTTGCCTATCTGTTAAAATTTGCTATACTATGTTGTAATGAAGAAAGGTGTTTAGAAGTATAAGTTGTTATTGGCCATTTTATTGTCCAATAACATTTGAGATATTTGGTTGACGATAGTGTGATTCATTTATTTCAAGAAATTTATTCAAGCACTAAAATTTAGTAGAAGAGGTAAAAACTTGTATATTGGATTGGTGATTAGAAATTAGTATAAGTTTTTATATTTATGAAAATATATATGTAAATTTATTTATTTTTTTTTTAATCTTCAAAGGTAAGGCCATGCCTCTATCTTTATTAAAATCCAATTAAACTTCTTTACAAATAATTAAATAAAGAAATTACATTATTTGAACTTTATATCTATAAGATACTAAGACTAGAGACTCAGACAGAGCCCTTGCTAACTCAAGAGTTATAGGAGTTATTTGCGACCTAAACCTATACGCGTAAATTTATTTATAATTGTAAAATGTAAAATAAATATAAATAATCATTGCAGTCTCTATATGAAAGTATTTAAATAATATGTGCCATATAATAATGACCCTGTTTAGATATTAACTTAATTCATTAATATTCTAAATTTTATTATCAACTAAAATTGTTTTGAGATTTTTGTTCCACTCAATATATGTGTGTATTTAAAAAAACCACATGTTGGGTTTTAAGTTTTTATTATTTACCCTTGATCAGAGACCGAATATATATACTATATTAAATTGTAGAATCCGAAATGGCTTTCATTTGGCTGCACTCATATTATACTGTATATGTCAACATAGATTTTTTGGGGATAATGCTTGTATAATAATTTTATTTTTAGCCTCAAAAACGGTCACTTAAAATTGATTACACTTTTGAGGTTAACACCAAAAAGACCACCATTTAAGCAGCATATAACTCCTGATTTTTATTTTATTTATTTATTTTAGTTATGTTATTTGTTCATTTTATTTATTTTATTTTTTATTTTAATTTATTTATTTATATTACTTATCTAAGGCCACATAAATTTTTTTTTTAGGTTTTCATAACCCAGTTTTTGCCTCGATTAATATGCATTACTATTACAATCATTTAAAAATACAGTTGATTTTTTTTATTATTGTATTCGAAATTACACTAACCAAATATGGATTTTATCACTTTATGGAAACGTAAAATCTTGAACTGAAATCTATCCACATGACTTCATCACAAATGTCAAATATGAGTGAAATAGTGATGGCGCAAAAATTTGGCGGTCTCGTGACTAAAATTTTCGTCTAAAAATTAATGTTCGCATTAATACAAACTAATTTTCCTTGCGAATTTATTAGTTAGTTGTAATCCTTGTTTTTTTCGGCTTTAATTTTTACTTCGCATTTTGTATGTTACACACCGATCTTACAATCGGATTGGGTAAAAATCACGGGACCGCCAAATTTTGCGCCATTACTATTTCACTCGTCAAATATCGCATGACATTTAGCACGTATCTGTGCTTACCGTTATGAAATACCGTAGATCAATGTAATTCAGAATTAGGACAGATCATTTAAAAAAATTTTTTTTGATCCTCTACTAACAGTGTGTAACAATTAAATTGAAAAAAGATGGCTCTCTATTTCTTATTTTCTCGTTAATCTCGATCAGTAAACAAATATAATGATTAACAACGAAACTTTTACAATTAGTTATTCGTCTCATTTTTACGGTGATCGCAAAAAGATCTATTCACATCATACTGTCATAAATTCCATAAATCAAGAATGGCCGATCCAATTTCAATGATTCTGCGCTTAAATGAATGCTGCAAACTGTAGTATCTAATTTAGAATGGCACAAAACGGATTAGTCGTTCATGAAATATGGGCATTTAGGATGGCACAAAACGGATTAGTCGTTCATAAAATATGGGCATTAAACGGTGTCAAATATTAAAATTAGAGTTGAAATGAGCAATTACTTTATCAAAGTATTATGATATTTCATGAATGACTGATCCGTTTTCAATGATTTTTCTTTTAAATAAATACTAAGAACGATAGCATTTATCAAAAACGGATTAGACCATCGGAGCATCTCCCTGTTCGATGATTTTGAACTCAAAATGAATTATACAATTTTAGCATTCGTTTAAACCAAATTTAAGAATAATTTGGCAATTCAGAAAATACAGAAAAAATTTGTTGCATATTATTTTTCCGGATCCTTTTTGTGGTCACTGCATTCCCCCATTTTCGGTGTTATAAGGAAAATACGGAAAAATTTTGTTGATATTATTTTTCCGAAAAATTTTGTTTGCATATTATTTTTCCGGATCCTTTTTGCGGTCACTGCATTTCTTTCATTTTCGATGATATAAGGAAAATACGGAAAGAATTTGTTGCATATTATTTTTCCGGAGTCTATTTTCGATGATATAAGGAAAATACGGAAAAACTTTGTTGCATATTATTTTTCCGGATCCTTTTTGCGGTCACTGTATTTCTCCTCCCATTTTCGATAAGGAAAATACGGAAAAATTTTTCTGGATTCTTTT